ACCACGATATTTTCGACGACTATGTTTTTAAATTGCGAAGTTTTTGAACCGCTTTATTTTCGACGACGATGTTTTGTACCACGATGTTTTAGAACTGCGATGTTTTCTCCCACGATGTTTTGTAGCACAACGTTTTCGCCTTGCGTTGTTTTCTCTGCGACGTTTTCGTCCGCGATGTTTTTGCCGCGATGTTATCAGCGGACACCATAAGGAACAGAGGCTATTTTTGCTGTTGTATTTCGCAGCAATCAGGAAGTAGTTACGCTGATTCGCTTACAGAAGACCTGCCCATATTTTTATCAAAATTTGATTTTGTTTTGTTTCATTGGAAAATCTTCATTGTTCATTTGTTTAATTGGAAAAGTATACATTGTATGTGTGGTATAGAATATATTTTCATTTTCTAGTGCCCTAATGCTTTTTCATATGATGGCCCTTCTGTCTCCAAGCCTTTTTCTCTTTGAAGTTGGGAAGCGGGGACATGTAATACATAGAATATGAAAGAAAGCTACTAACTTTAATTTGACAATAGTTATTTTTATTACTCATATTGATTTGGCTACTTTCCCTTACTGTCCTACTATCCTGTCTCCGTTATGCATCTATGACACAACTAACATCTTGCCAAATTAATACGAGTCATTTTTCTACCTATGCACAGTAAAGAATCATGAAATTATTTACAGAATATATTACGTTTATTTATTACATATATATATATAAATTCAATTAAATAAATTATTAAAGTAGGTAAACAAATAAATTAATACTTGACAAGATGTTCTGTAAAAAACAAGATCAATAAGTATTGTACCAAAATTAAAAATAATAATAATAATAATGCAATTGTTAAGAAATTTGAAAGGAAAACTGCTGTATTTATGTATGATCAAATCCTGCATTTATACAAAATTATGAAGGTACTCATAATTTTTAGCCTTTTCTTTAACATTAAATTAAGAGCTCTAAAAGCATCCTTCAGCAGAATTTTAAGCTATCTAAGTCCAGTCTCCAATGTATGATGAACTGTTCCTTGTTAGCAATTAATCTATATGATCTCGAAGCACGTATCACAACAACTTTGATGACGATCTTAATTTAGCTCATCCATGCATTATTTACACCGTGCGTCTGTTGGGGTGTTGCCCCATTACGCCGTTTAAATTGACAGGGATATAATTACTAGATGATTAGTAAGTGTTAATTCACATTTGAACTAATTCTTTAAATATTGTGAGAGTTCTCTTAAGTGATATATGAATTTTAGGAAAGAAAAATGAAGCTCTTGTATGAAATGTTACTTTCTTTCGAACTTAGAATTTTCATCATAGGTTTAATATTTCTTTGAAGAAACCTTTTAAGGTAATCATGAAGGCAGTTTCCTCTAAAGATAATATTCTCTTCCGTAAGTTTTAATGTCAAGAATGATCCGATTTATTATAATCCTTTGTTCTTCCAAAGCCTAACGCAAATTTGACGTTTGTATGCTTCTTCGTAGTCATACCACATTTTACTCTGCAGCCTATAATTCCTTCACAGACTAAAAGGGAGAAATGTTTCAACATATGTTCCTACAAAGGTCCGATGTCAAACTTAATTTAGAAATTGCAGCAAAAATAATGCACCGCTTTAAGTAACTTCAGCACGAAATGTGCTTATTTTTATTCCTAACTTTTATTAAAATTATCCATCCTAAAAATGTGCTGAAAGTTAAATGTCTGGAGTAATACTATTATCAAAGTAAGAATCGTGATCCTGTTGAAAAGTACGAGTAAAGCATAAAGACTAATGCAAACATTTGAAGTTTAAGGTTTTATAATTTTTTTAGATATAAGAAGGCAGCTGCAAATTTTATTAATAAAAATATACTAGATATATTGCTTGCATGTTTTAAACTATCTCAAACATGTATTTTTAGCAGAATAAATCTAAATTCACGTGACGAGTCAAGAAAATTTCCTTTGAACAAAAGGAGTTGAGAGTGAGATGCCACAATTTGATAAAAAGTAATAACCTCTGAGCTAATTCGTTCATTACAGATTAACAGCTGAGAATTATTAAAATATTACTGGTAAACCCCCCATTAATCAAGCGGCGAATGAATCAGGTTTTGTCTAAAAGTAGTGAAGTTTGTTTATTGTGGAATTTGTAATGGAATATTATAATGGAAGAATTATTACCATAAACCGTTTAAAGAAAGCAAAGCTTTCACTGAAAAATGTAAAAAGGAGAATAAAATAAAGGTCAGATAACATCAGTGACAATCAGCAGTCACTATGTTTAGTAATAGTTTTTATCGACAACAGTACGCAATTTAATTATACATAATTTGGAATATATAAATATTGTTCAATCATCCAATTAGAGATCAAAAACAAAATTGCATTCCGCAACACGAAATATCTTGCTCTTGTTTTCAATGCTTATTCATTTTACATAACCGAGTAATTTCCAGATTAAATTGCTTAAAATTACAAGCAAAGTGCTAACAGCATTTTTGTTAATTATAATATAGGTTATATGTCTTTCTTGTGCTTTTTAACTGCTGTCAAATTAACCATGAGTTTGGGTTAATCGTGGACGTCATACGATTACTGCGGTATTATATTTACTATTCATATTTCTGAAGTTAATCGGACACCTACTGTGTAAGTTATAAAATTCAAGTTAAATTCTTTCGCTGAGCCATGAAGGGCATTTTACTAATTCTGATACAAGCTCATATGCAAATCTATCCTTACATACACAAACATCCTTACATACTCCACGAAATATTCAATCCACAGAATCCATTTTTGAAGCAAATTGTGTGAAAGATAAGCTTCGTTATCTAATTATCCAAACCAAAATGATCAAGCGATTTCTAATATGCAAATAAAGTGAATCATCTCTTGGCATCATCTATCAATCATCTAACTGTGTATCAAGCGCTTAGTATAAACCACCTGGGTGAATTTCTACGATATAGTGTGTTAGGATGCGTTAATTTCAATGCGTAAGGACTCAAAATGGTTTATTATGATTCTGAAGGATTATCATTTGCATATTTTATAAAGTGGCGTATCATCGGCGTTTATAAGCAGGACAGTCATGGAATCAAATGCGACGTGTGAATATTTCAAGACACAGAGTCTCTAAGGAATGGAAGCAATTTCAGAATCCTGGCATTGTTGTAACAAACCTGGACAAAATCACAGTAGCTGGCTGTCATAACAGGAACTCTACTACTCGTCAATTTATTTCAGAGTTTGCAGCAGTCACTTGTATCACGATAAACTACATACAGAAGGCTCAATGAAGAAGGCCACCATGCCAGAAAGCAAAAGCTATGTGTTTAACAACGAACTTAACAACGAACCATCGATCGATTAACATCGTGCAAGTGTGCGAGTAATATCAGTATAGGAGTAACCAACAAGGGTCCCATTTTCTGTTTATTGACGAGTGGAAGTTTAGTTTAACTTTTGGCTTTAAACGTGTTTACATCCGGAGGGAGTTGAGAACGCGAAATCTTCCTTCGCGTGGCAAATTGGTAATGCAGGCGTGATGTGTAAATTGGATTTTTGGTAGGCGTAATGTGTAAAGTGGCAAACTGGTAATGCAGACGTGATGGCATGGGGGGGGGATAATAATGTACGGACTCCCTACGCATTTTCAATTGCGGATCTGTGACGGGCCAGGGATACTGGAATGAGGTCAAAGAACTTTATTTAAGACTTTTTAGAGATGCATATATATCTCACTTTCTGTTTATGGACCTTAACGTTCGTCCAAATCGAGAATACTACGTTGACGAAATCCTTGAACGTGGAGGAACAGGGCGAAAAACGTGGCAAGCAGAATCTCTTAATTTTAAACTGATATAGGACTTATAGAATTAGTTTGGGAAAGCCAGTTGTACCGAGACATACTCTTAGAAATGTAAATTCCTAAAAGACTGCATTGCTGGAGAAGCGGAATACAATTCTCCAAACCAATGTTTCTCAACCTTTTAGTATTCACGACCCAATTTTCAATCATAATTTTCATCGCGCCCCCCCTCTCCACTGCATACAATAAAATGTATACAATAATAATGTATTTTAAGTATTTTGGCGCTCAACCTACACTACAACCTTAATTTTAAACTTTACAAATTACCAAGAATACGGAAATTTATTGACATTTTTCAACACCGATCCTCAGCATTGAAAAAAACAAGAATCCTATGCCTTTTTAGTGCTCTTGCGTCTCGCCATGTAGGGAATTCTCACAGTTTCGCGAGACGTTTCGATTTGTCTGGAATTTGTCTGGTCAGCTTAAAAGTTAAGTTAGGAGCGTGCGCAGATGTGAACAAATGTTTTCTCATAGGGAGAAGGAGAAAGTTCGATGACGCCAATTTCAATTCCAGACAATCTCATTAGAGTCGATCCTTCTATCGCTATTTAATCTATTCTGAATGTGTATGTTATATATATTTTCGTGTAATTGCAATTCATCGTATTAAATATTCACGGTAGCAGACTCATGCAGAATTGTGAATAAATTTTTAAGCGGGTGTAAGCAAGCATTAGACGATAGACAAGCATCAACAAGTACACAGACGAGCGTGGTTCCGAAAATAAAATCAAGAAAATATTCTCAAGAATACTTAAATTTTGGGTTCACTAGTACTGAAGTAAATGAAGAAGAAAGGCCTCTGTGTATCATTTGCTCAAAAGTTTTGGCGGCAGACAGCATGAAACCTAATAAACTTAAACGACATTTGGAAACGCTTCATAGTAAGTACGTAAACAAACCCAGAGAATTCTTCGAATTAAAATTAAAATCATATGAAAAGCAAAAATCATTGTTAAAAAAAACTTTTTGTGAATGAAAAAGCTTTAATTGCCTCTTAGAAAGTTTCATATAAAATAGCCAGATGTAAAACGCCTGACACCATTGGTGAAGAGCTTATTTTGCCAGCCGCAATTGAGATTGTAGAAATTATGTTTGGAGATAATATTGCAAAATAATTGCAGTCTATACCTCTTTCAAATGATACTGTTGCCCGTCGAATTGCTGATATAGCTGAAGATGTAGAGTGTCAGCTTTTGTCTAAGTTACGTGACAACTTGTTTTCAATACAACTCGATGAGGCAACAGATAGTAATAAAGATGCTCATTTCATTGCCTATGTTAGATTTTGTGATGATTCGTTAGTAGAAGAAGAATTACGTTTCTGCAAACCAATAGAACTCAAAGCAACAGCTTTCGCATTATTTGCTATCTTAAATGATTTTATGAACGAGGTAAACATAGAATGGAAAAATTGCGTCGGAATATGCACCGATGGTGCTCGTTCTATGTTCGGAAGATTCCAAAGTATTCAAGCACTTGTGAAACAAAAATCGCCACAGTGCGTCTGGACACATTGCATGATCCACAGAGAAGCTTTGGCTTCCAAAGAAATGAGTCCTGGTTTGTGTTAACTACGATTGTAACCGTAGTAAATTATATAAAAATGAGACCCCTGAAATCAAGAATCTTTTCCGCACTTTGTAAAGACATGGGTGCAGTACATTCAGCGTTACTATTTTATTGCGAGGCAAGATGGTTATCACGATGGAAATTTTTGCAACGTGTTTATGAATTAAGAGAAGAAATCGTCGTTTTCCTAGAAAAGGAAAACAGACCGGAAGCTGAGAATTTTCGCGATAGTTTATTTGTGATAAAATTGAGCTACATGGTCGACATATTCGAGAAATTAAATAACTTGAATCTTTAACTGCAAGGAGCAAATACACATATATTGGATACGAGTGATAACGTTAATGCTTTTTGTAGGAAATTGGAATTGTTTAGCAGAAATTTAAAGCAAGAAAACATAACAATGTTTGCAAATTTGAATGATTGTATTAAAACTTACAAGGCTGAAGAACAACATGTAAAAGTTGTTTTTGTAACCATTGAAAATCATTTAGCAATGCTAGCAAAGAATTTTAAAAAGTACTACGTCGAAGATGCTGACGACAAACTGATATCAAGTTACAAGTGGGTGAGGGATCTCTTTCAAAATACTCCCGAAGGACTCTCAATTGAAGAGAAAAAAACCTTCATAGACTTCACGGCAAGCGGCGAAACCAAAAGACAATTTAGTAATAAGTGAATGATGAGTTTTCTGCACTAAAAACAAGAGCATTTCGCATTCTACTACAATTTTCAACATCTTACCTTTGTGAAACTGGATTTTCTGCGGTGGCTTCTTTGAAGACAAAATATAGATCTCAGCTAAATATAGAAAAAGAACTGAGAGTGTCTATTTCTAATATTAAACCCTCCTTCGTAAAACTTTGCTCTGCAAGACAGGTCCAGGAAGTCACTAATAATTATTAAATTTGTTTTTAATTTAGTAAGTTGTTTTAATTTAATAAGTTTATTATTAAATATGTCGAAATGTATATTGTTTTGTATGTGTGTGTGTTCTTTCCTTTCAGTCACTTAATAAGTTTTTTTAAATAACATTTTCTCTTGGATATGCTCACGCCCCTGATTAGTGTGCTTGCTCCCCCCTAGGGGGCGCGCCCCACAGGTTGAGAATCACTGCCTCAAACTGTGGTTAACAACGTTACTGCCAGCATGATAAAACGCGTTGTGTTTGTGTTTACAAGTCAGGTGAGATCAAATGCCATATTAAACTCTTCAGCCTTTATTTTTTCCCGAATATCGTAACATAATATTGCTATTTTTATTGTTTTATCCTACAGCTTTATACCATTTGCAGTGCTATTTAATATTTCATTCGTATTTACGTGTTTCGATGTTATGAATCACTCCTCACAAATTCATAAAAGTATAGTTATAAGTTTTTAAAAAATCTGCGATTTCTTGCATGTAAAGAAAAATCTTTCTACATGAGTATCTTTATTTAAGTAAGTGAAATATGAGACTGCGATATGTTTTCACTTTATTCATAAACTATGCTGCTAGGTTATCAAAGACCATATATTTGGCTTAAATGTTTGAAACGAATACATAAAAGTTATTAGAAACATACCACGATATTAGGACACATGAGCTAGCCATACTAATAGAAAAAACTAACATAAAACAGTGTAACTGAAATGAAATGAAAAGGTGCAAAAGAATACATACACTGCTGTGCAAAAATTAAGGACAAGACAGTTTTTTTTCAATATAACTTTGTACAAAAGCTTTCCAAATCAACACATTTAATACCGTAAGATCCCCAATACGTAAGGACATGAGTAATGTAAGCAACACTTACTAAAAGAGAAATCAGATTGATAAAAAGAAGCTTTATTGAAAAAGTAGCATGAAGCGCAATGCGACTGAAGGCCGAAACATCCCTGTGATGGGTGTCCAGCAAGAAACATCCGGTCTTTAATAGGGGATATGATCTCCCCTGACTGCTAGGCAGGTTTCACAGCGTCTGCCCATGCTGAGAATGAGGGTGTCAATGAGTTGTTGAGGCATTGCTGCCCATTCGTCTTGCAGCGCCAATCGAAGCTCCGGAATCGTTACTGGTGGTAAGGTACGAGCTTCCAAGCGTCTGCCTAGAAAATCCCATACATGCTCGATGTGATTGAGATCCGGAGATCGTGCCGGCCAATCCATACGTTCAATATCCTCACTCTCTAAGAGCTGTTCGGCAGCTACTGTGCGATGACATGGTGCATTGTTGTCCATGAAAAGTAACTGCGGACCCATAGCGCCTCTAAAAAGTCGCACATATGGAAGAAGAATCTCGTTACAATAACGGGTCCCGTTGACTGAACCTGCGTCGAAGATGTGAAGGTCTGTACGACTACCAAGCATGATGCCTCCCCAAACGAGAACACCGCCACCTCCATACCTATCCCTCTCAATGATGTTCGAGGGATGATTGCGGCTTCCCCGCTCTCTCCAGATGAGTATGCGATGAGAATCGCTACTCAGACTGAATCTGCTCTCATCTGTAAAGAGTACTCGTGTCCATTCATTGTCTCTCCAATTCCGGTGTTCCCGGCACCACAGAGAACGCCTTCTCCGATGGGCAGGCGTTAGAGGTACACACCGTACAGGGCGTCGTGCAAACAGACCACCACCGTGCAGTCTTCTGGCCACGGTAAAACGCGATATCGGTCGTCCAGTCGCCTGTGTCGTGTGTCTAGCGATTTCTCCCGCTGTCTGCCGCCTGTTTCTTCTGGCCTGTAAGGCAATATAAAGGTCATCTGCGGGTGTGGTTCCTCGTGGACGACCACTACTAAACCCCCGGATAGCTGTTCCTGTAGTTTGAAATTGTCTCCAAAGTCGTGAAACGATGCTATGAGCAATTCCGAACTCTGCAGCCACACTTGTCACACTGCGGCCTTCCTCCAACTTCCCAATGATTCGACCTAAGCATCCAGATGTCGTCTAACAGATTGATTATTCGCCATTTCTCGCTGAGGCAGCAACTTGGTGTGATTTTAACTGCTATACGGCGTGCAATCTCTTTGCCAGAAATACTGATCTTACACCGACAACATGCTTTATACTACTCAGACTCTCCCCCATTACGTCTACCTGCATATCTGTGCATGTGCTACCGTACATCACCTTACTTAATCTCCTGATTGGTCTTTCTGTCCGCTCTGCCTCTTCGTTCAGCTGATATGCTAATTTTTCGACTTCGTCCTTAATTTTTGCACACCAGTGTAAATCTAGAAAGCCGCAAATATAGGATGCACCCTAGGATAAAATTAAAACATGAGAAGTTGGAAACGCGAAAAATACTAATAAAAATTAATTATTTAAACTGTGATTTGTAAGGAGTGGAAAGCAGACCCGTATTTTAATTCTTTTCCTTTCAATAATTTAGCAACTGCAGTCTGATAAATTTACGTTTGTAAGAACTGATAAAAATTCGAATCAAAAATTCAACTTTGTTTCTATGAGAAATCATCTGGAAAATACGAAAAATTTAAAATTACCTCGGTCTCTACTTTGTAGGTCAAATTGGCATTCATACATGGTTTTCAATATGATCTGTGATATTACATACTATTAAATAAATCCGTAAATTTGTTACAAAAACGTTCTTTATTATTTCAGAAATATTATTTCAGTTTGTAATATTATGTGTCATAATAACACATGAAAAAGAAAGACTTAGAAGGATTAACAAATGAAATGTTTATGTTGACTAAAGTTTCATTTAAATTTGGGAAGACGTCAACAAAACATTGTTTTAGTATAATTATCGTTAACAGAAATTTTTTAATTTGAAGCAGTAGTAGAAATAACTAATAGAATGCAGCATTTAAAGAGACTGTATATTAATTTTGAATACTTCTGAGATACTGCTGCCAGTGGAAAGTTTGGATAATCTTTGTAACACGTTTTCTTTTTTAATGTTGAAACAAAGGTACTCACAACAGATAGTTTATTTCAACATATGTATGTGTCTCTTCAAGTTATGCTTGAGAGATTGATATCAAAAAATTACAGAGCGTTATTGCACTTTTGCAAAAATATTACGATTTCTCGAGGTTGGGACACGTGAAAAATTAACGTCCTCGCTGAAATTCGAACTCTAGACCTCTCGATTGCTACCTGGGCATGCTATCAGTTACACTACGCACAGTGAGGATATGCGCACAGTGAGAGAGGTGAACATTTCTTAAATTCTTCCTCTAGAGGGCGACGGGGGTAGAAAAGAAACACAGTCGCAAATTCAGTTGTTGGTGAATTATCGGCCAGCACGTTTGTAGTCGGAAGCCACTTGAAGAGACTATTATAATTTTTAGAAGCCAGAAAGCTGGGGAAATCGGCTTATGCTTTCCCTGATTAGAACTCCAGACTTTTGAATTATTAACCGGGCGTCCTTTCAGTTACATCACGAAGACACGCAGTAAGAAAGGAGAAAATCCCTTATGCATTGTACTGTTTCCACATCATGCTTTTGTATTTTTATAATTTTTTAAAAAATAATTTGAATGTACAGCATACATATTAATGTGAGAATTTATGCGCAGATAGGATCAAATGTACCAGAAATGTGTTTAAACGAAAAAACCAGGTGCTTGTGGGCCATTTTGTTGGCTCTGGGGAGACTATAAGAAAGGAGTTTATGAATAGGTACAGCAAGTAACCTACGTCTGAAGATTTTTTGGTTAATGGACAGACCGAGAGATCGTGAATCACCCTCGTTCCACACATATGGCTGAAATCCCATGGGGTTCTCTTTATCTTGCGCAAATGGGGCAAGAATGGCCACAGCGTTGTAAAGAACAGCGCTAGTGGGAATTGTGGTAGCCGATAGTATAAATGTAATTTACTGTGGGTTAAATTATTCTTGTTCTTTAGTTTTAAGCAGGTTTCTATGTCTGTTAGTATAGTTAAGCCTCCTGTTATCTGCATTCTTGCGTCATATCATTGCTTCTCGTCCAGGGTATGTCCCAGATTTGTACTAAGAGCATGCAGCTCAACACCAATTCTTTTTTAAAAA